CGCCCGCCGTGCTCTTGCTTTAGGGAGGCCTAATTTGAGAGGAAGAGGTCATGTAAATGAGTGGTTTTAAGGCATGTGTTGAATGCTGAGGTCTGTTTTGGAGAGCACGCTTGTGTAAGTGTAAAAATGATGCGAGGGCTGGAGCCCCTCTGCTGTGAGGAGAGGCGGAGGGGGCTGGGGTGTTCAGCCCGGGGAAGGCCGCGGGGAGACCTCTGCTTAAAGGCAGCCTACAGAGATGGGGACAAACGTTTAGTAGGGCCAGCTGTGACAGGACAAGGGGTAATGGCTTTAAACTGAAGCAGGGGAGGTTTAGACTGGATCTAAGGAAGAAATTCTTTACAGTGAGGGTGGTGAAACCCTGGCAGGGGTTGCCCAGAGAGGGGGTGGAGGCCCCATCCCTGGGACCATTCCAGGCCAGGTTGGCCGGGGCTGTGAGCAACCTGATGTGGTTCAAGGTGTCCCTGCTCCCTGCGGGAGGGTGGGACTAGATGGCCTCTAAAGGTCCCTTCCAACCCAAAACATTCTATGATAATACATTATCAAACCATTCTGTTTGGTCTGTTAATAAAGAATGCCTCTACAACTTGTCTGTAGACCACTGCCTGTTTTTCTTCACATTTTACATATTTTTAAGGTTTAATTTCTCAAACTTTACGATTTTTTTCACAATAGTTCAGCTTTATGTTGCGAAGTCTGAAATTTTATATTTTCAAAGGCTTCTACTTTTGTTTGCCATTCCTCTGTTCCCTTGAAGTTTCAAGCATTTTTCTGGGGTGAGATATTTTTTAGCACCTAAAGTAAGGTTTGAAACCTCTCTGTTACGTATGTGCAGGTAGCGGATGTGGAAATGACCGCGTAAGCTGCCCCTTTGCACCTTCCAACCCTTATCCTTAACTCTCATGCCCATACCACTGAGATTTCTCAGCCAGGAAAATGCCTCAGTCTAAGCCGTGCCTGTATTTTTGGTTGACACTCACCTCAGCAGGTGTATAGGATCCAGAGGATTTAGTGCATACGCGGGGATAAAGTGCAATAGTGATTCTTTGGTAATGCTTGATTACTCCTGGTAATGACCACAGACTTCAGAATGAGGTATACAGTCTCCGAAAACATTGTCTTTTGTTTTTTGCCTGTAGCACGATGCCAAATGCTTTTTACCCAGCGACTGAATGAATTATGGTCACTGCTAATATTTTCTTGCGGTTAACAGGATAATGCCTTTTCTTCTGTTCACCAAACTCCTTTCAGAAATGCTGTCAGCGTTCCATTCTACAGTAAGAATCTACAGGTTCACTGCTTCCAGTTGTTTTTTTTTTTTTTTATTTGTTGTTGTTGGCTAAGCTTTTCTCCAAAGATAATGACAGATTCAGTCCCTCAGTGACTTGGGTGTCAGCTGCTGAGAGCTTTCAAAGGTACCTGCAAATGCAAGAGACCAAATGACCACCAGATAAGACCTGTAGTCAAAGAAAGGTAATTGTGACATTCCTGTTAAACTGCAGGCACGCTGATAACCAGTGACCTGTCTCTGCAGTCTAAAACGCTCTTACACGATGACACGTTAGCATGCAAAGGCTCAACCTTTAATTCTTTAGTTCGCACAGAAAAGTGCTTGCAGGGAGACAGGAATCCATGTGTCCACAGAGACGTGAGATGTGAAATGAAAATTTATGAACGGTAACAAACCACAAGATGGTGCTGTCATTATAGACAGTGGAAAAACTATTTCTTGGCAATAAGGGTCTCTGCCTTCAGAGAACTAATTAATGTCTCTGATCATCTTTAATCATTACCAGTTTCAACACCTCAAAGCAATGATGCTCCTGTTAGAAATCGCTCCATAACTTGCACCATCATCAGGACATCTTTCCCACTTAGGGGCAGGTGCTTGTTAAGGATGTGGAGATTTCACAGCATCAGAGGCTTGGGAAATCTTTCTTACTATCACTGGGGTTTGTTTGGCATGCAGTTCACTTTGTTATTAGAAGAATCATTAGAATGTGTGTTTTTTTCAAGGGGAAAATAAATTTAAAGAGTGCTATTTTCAGACCTCCCACAGGTTAAAATGCGTTATCATTATAGCCAAAAACTTTGGAAAGTCTCACTGGATTTAGCAAAGCTTTTTAGAGTTTATGGCACTTTTATGCCTACTTAAGCTGCTTTGTTGTTTACCAGAGCACCGCGCCCTCGCCGACAGATGGTACAGCCCCTTTGTATTTCCAAAGGAATAAAATTGGCAGAAGGACAATCCCTGTGGTGACAGGGTGTACCTTGTTAGAACAGCCCCTCTGGTGCTTGTCAGAGCCATCCCTGGCTCCTACACCTGTGGGGCAGTGAGCTCCAGAGCCCCAAAATGCAGATGAGCCAGGGGCTTGGCATGGGAGAAGGTGGCAGCACGGAGTGAGGGACCTGGTCTAGGACTGTAGAGAGGAGCTGGGATGCAAGCAGAAGTGCTTTTGAAATCAGGTTTAAACGTCTGGATTAGTTAGTAAACCTTTCAAAAACGTTTCCATGCTTGACATCAAAACATGAAAAAGTAGAACAACATCTTCATATTTGGGAGGCAGTTGTCTATTTTTTGACTTACAGTGCAGAGCTGTGGTAAAAGAATTTATCGTCAGTTTAAAGAACTAATTTTCAGAGATGTTTTTCAATTTGAAAAACAAGGAAAACCATTATTCAGTATGATGAGAGCGTGCACCGTGGTACCCAAGATGTTCTTCAGCACTCCAGCTCGGTGGGGTAACCAAACACAAGAATAATCTTTCAATGGAGGGAAATAGGACTCCTCAGGGCAGCATTCCACGGTGAAATGCTGCTTATGCTGCGTCTCCTTCAACCCCTTCTGCTCAGTTCTGTGCTTCTGGTTTCTCTTTTCTCCAGTGAGGTGGGCTCAGGTGGCCGGGGCCTCCCCTTGGTGGCTGGGAAACTGGCCGGCTGGCCGTGGACAGAAAGCTTCGGTGCTTCGGTCAGCCCAGTACCAGAAACTCCTGGTGCCTCCTGCCCAAAGGAGAGTAATTGCTTTCTGGATTTCACACTTCTTTTCCCTACCCTGCTCCTTCAAGGGCAGCTGAGTTCCATACAGGCAGATGTTGACTTTAATCTGTGCTACAAATTAATGTTTTCTCTTATTTACCAGTACTTTCCTTCTGGAACAAATCAAGTTACAGGCTGCTGGCAGCGCTGTCAGTCCGAGAGTCTATTTTTAACCTTCTTCCCCTCACTTGGCACATTAACTTTTTTTTTTTCTTCACTGTGAGAGAACTCAACAGAAAGAATAAATAATAACAAACAAACCAGATGAATTAAATTCAGCGTCACCTTCAGTGCTAGAGGAAATAAAATTACTTGAGAGAAGGCTAGTTTGTCATTTGCAGCGGTCCCTGGTGAGGAACGGCGCAGCTTCCCTCTGCTTTGAGCGGAGAATGGGTCTCTCTAGCTCCTGAGTGATGCTACCTACAGGAAAGACGTTGCGTTGCTGGAACATGTCCAGAGGAGAGCAACGATGCTGGGGAGGGGTCTGGAGCCCAAGGCTGATGGGGAGTGTCTGCGGGGCCTGGGGGTGTTCAGCCTGGAGTAGAGGAGGCTGAGGGGAGCCCTCATCGCTCCCTACAACTGCCTGAGAGGAGGGGGGAGCCGGGGAGGTCGGGCTCTGCTCCCAGGGAACAGGCGATAGAACAAGAAGAAATGGCCTCAGGTTGCACCAGGGGTTTTAGATCGGATATCAGGAAAAATTTCTTCCCCGAAAGGGTTCTCAAGCACTGGAAGGGGCTGCCCAGGGAAGGGGTCGAGTCCCCATCCCTGGAGGGATTTAAAAGCCAGGCAGCCGAGGTGCTTAGGGCTAGGGTTTAGTGGTGGGATGGCAGGGTTAGGGGAACGGTTGGGCTTGATGATCT